TTCAATCATTTATTGGAGTCCACTCATTCTCAACAAAGAATATAATAAAAATTTAATATTCGTGAAAGAGAGAATACTCGAAAGAGAGAATACTCGAAAGAGAGAATACTGAAAGAGAAAATACTCGAAGAATATTGTTGCGCCCGCTGCGCAAGTTCGCACTCACGACCGCGACGCGCACTCCCGATCCGCGGAAAGAAACAGATTCAAGGATTTGTGAAGGTAACAAAGAAGATCTTTATTGGTGTCGACGATACAGTCCGAGAATAGCGCGGAATAAATGTATTGGTATCCGCTGGAGAAACACGTCCGAACGCGTTGACCGTCCTCCAAAGATCTGCCGGTTGTCTCTCCGTAAACAACAACGCGTCGTCTTGACGATGCGACACCACGGGTCGGCAAAGCGCAGCATGCGACGAGGCATGGGCATAACAATATTATGATAATCACACACAACAACAAAAAGGATAAATCTTATATGAATGTGTGGTATGAAAGGATAAATAAAGTGAAAGCCATTCGTTGTAATCAGGGTTGATAAAAAACACGTTTTTAACATGTTTTAAATAGTTTAAAACATGTATATGTATATATGTATAAATATAATAAATGTATATAATAAATGTATATATGTATAAATGTAATAAATGCATAAATGTATGTATAATAGATATACGTGTCGAATTTAACGTTTATTTATTATACTATGTCTCGTCCGGATGGATAATTGTAGTAGCGTTCGGAAAAACCATGGCTCAAAAACCGCGGGCGAGACGGTCTTCTTTCTGCCGCCGAGAATCCCGCTCCGGAATCCCACTTCTGAATCGTAGGCATGGAGGGGCGGCGCCCAGATATCCCGCTTCGGAAAGAATTTGCCTCCGGATGTTGTCGCTAAAAGTCGCTGCTGTGCTGCTGTCAATACCTCCGACCTCAGGTTGTCAGCTTACCCTGGAACTTAACGAATAACAATAACGCGAAGCAACTCATCATTCGAAATGGTTTAACTTTATCTTTAGATACTGTGACTCCGAAACTTCCTTATTAGACCAATTGTCTTTCTAAGTAAGGTGCCAGTCTATCTAAATGAACAACTTTATTTTTATGTTTACTCGACTTGCGAACACAATAAACCACATCACTAAGTTTCTTTACTATACAGTAAGGACTTTCCCAGCTACTCTGCAACTTAGGAGCTTTACCTTTCACCCTTCAAGGATTGTAAAACCAAACCTTTTGTTCTATTTCGAAATGAATGTGCCTGACCCTTTGATCATACCAGGTCTTGGTTCGAGAAGACTTAATATCGATCCGCTTCCTAACTTGATCGTGAACTTCTTCTAACTTTCTCTTTATTTTACCTAAATAATCGTTCGTCGAGTTCCCTACCTCAAACTTTGGGGGATTCCCTCGAAGCAGATCTACAGGAAGCCTAAGATCTTGAGCGAAATACATTTCCGCCGGAGTTACACCAGTGGCTTCATGTCTGGAAGTCCTATATACCAAGAGATACATCTGAATCCAACGATCCCAATCCTTTTGATTCTTATCAATAAACTTCGCCAAATAGTTTAGAATCGTCTGGTGTTGACGTTCCACTTGACCATCCGACTGAGGATGTAGAGCAGAAGTTCTCGTTTTCTTAATTCCGAGCAACTGTGATAATTCCCGAAAAATCCTGGATTCAAAATTTCTTCCCTGATCCGTATGGACTTCTAACAGGACCCCATGTCTCGAGATAACCTGACTCAAGAAGATCTCTGCAATGGTCTTCGTTCTAATATTCTTTAAGGGGAATGCCTCAACCCATTTAGTGAAGCAATCGACCACAACTAATAAATACTTATTTCCCGAGAATGTTACTAGAAGTGAACCAAGTATGTCCATTTGAACCCTTTCAAATGGAGCTCCGACGTTGTAAATCTAAAGCGGAGATTTTCCTTTCCCTATCGGGCCCTTTCGCGCAACGCAGACTTTGCACGTCCTGCACCAATCCTCTACATCTTGTTTACAAGAAGCCCAATAAAATCTCTTACGAATTTTCTCCAGAGTTTTATTAACTCCAAAGTGTCCTCCTGACGAAGAGTCATGAATCTCCTTTAAAATCTCCTGAATTCGCTTCTTAGGGACGACTAGTTGAGCAACACTGCTCTTCAAATTTGGAGCCTTTTTGGGGCGTTTTTGAGCCCAAACGGCATACGCTTAAATTCATAATGCCCGAAAGGCGTAGAGAAAGCCGTTTTCTGCGCGTCGTTGTTGGCCATGGGTATCTGGTGAAAGCCCGACGCCAAGTCAAATACATTAAAGTATTTGGCGCTGCCCAACTGATCTAATATGTCCGTAATGTTGGGCAGGGGGTAAGCGTCTCCCAGCGTTTTTTCGTTCAAGGCCCTAAAGTCTATCACAAGACGCCAGCGTTTATTTCCCTTGGAATCGGCCTTTTTAGGGACGATCCACAGGGGTGAGTTATAAGAAGACGTCGATGTCTCGATTACGTCTTGTTTTAGCATCTCGTTTACTTGTCGGTCGATTTCATTTTTGTGTGCCGGCGGAAATCTGTATTGCTTAACGTTAATTGGTTTATCATCGGTAGTTACTATTCTATGCGCGATTGCGTTAGTGTGGCAAAGCTCCTCATCAGGTAATTGGAATAAGTCGCAGTGTTTAGAGAGGAGGTTCGCCACATGTTTGGTCTCTTCGTTATTTAAATGATCTAAGCGTAGGGCGTCGCGAACTCTTTCTATTCGGTCAGTACGATTGGTTTGTTTAATTATGTTAACGTTCGCGTACTTTTCGTCGTCCGATGAGTGGTAGTTGGACGCCCGTTCCACCTCTTGTAGCGTTACGTGAGGGACGATAAGTTCCCTGTCTGTTTCGTTCGTATTAATTACTCTTAAGTAGGCCTTACCATTACGGTTAGTGACCATCGCGTCGCCCAGGAATATGCCCTCGCCTACGCTAAGTCGCGGGACGTATCCTGTTTTGGCGTTCGCGTTATTTACTTTGAGATAAAAGGTGGATTGCGACCGCGCGGGTATTATCAGGGTATCGCGATCCGTGAAGGGAATTAAGTTCCCTTTTCATTCGACATGTCTCTCGGAAAGATTTATATTTGATGCGTCGCGGAGGAAATCGGATCCTAGAATCCCCCTGTGCGATCGAAAAATTATTAGGTACTACATGCAGGGCAACTGGGTGTCCCATTATATGGATTTTAACTAACCCTAAGGTTTTCACGCGACCGCTCGTTATTCCGCTAAGGTAGAGCGGATCGTCATGGCTAATGACTGTCTCCGGATGTAACCCCTTTTCCTTAATTACGTTGGGCGCGGCGCCCGTGTCTATCATGAAATTTGTTCTGTGTAATAATTCGGGGGCAGTTACTGCTACCGTTGGCGCGTGCGAAAATTCTTTTACATTTAGAGTTGCAATTCGTGATCGTTCGCTTCCCCCTTCGTCTCTATAGCGTTTAGTGATCTCGTTTTCAACTGTCCGTCCGTCGGGGTCGTCTCTCGGTGTCCCGACGGACCCTGTCCGTTTCCCGCCGCTTCTCTTTGTGCATCGTTATACCGTTTACGTCGGCACTCCTCTATTGTGTGTCCTTGTTTTTTGCAATATCGGCACGAGGGGTCAGTCAGTCATGTATCGTATCGGTTAGAATTCTGGTAGTTATTGTAACGAGGGGGAGCTCCCGCATCATATCGAGTCTCTTGTCGGTTCCCGCTTGGCGAACTTCCCGATGTGCCGTATCGTGAAGCATATCCCTGCGTTTCTAGCATATCACGGGGCGATTGAGGTTGGCTGGCATACCGCACCGGGCGTTGATGACCTTCTCGCGGGTCACGCATATTGTTGTAGGTCTCTCCGCCTCGCGGTTCATAATTGCGCGTGTTTCTTCCGGGGGAGGTCGGGTAGCGGCGGTCGTTATTGTTAAACAGATTGTTTGGTCGCTGTGGGGTGGAATGTGCGAGAGGCCTTCCCATCGGAGTCGGTTGACGCGTCTCTCTCTCTCTCTTTCGCGGTCGTTACGGGATCTTATTTCGAAACGCTGCTTATCTAATTCTTGTCGCTTGGCTATTGATTTCACGGCGGCAAAAAGATCCGTGTGGGATCGGCGCGTTTTCGGTTCTATCTGTAACCTGAATTCTAAGGGGAGGCCCTCGTAGCATGATCGGGCCGTAAAGTTATCTATTTCCGCGACGAATTGGACATCTAAATTCCCCTTTTCCCTTCGCTCTGTGTTGAGGATCGAGGCGCGGAGATCCTTTACACGGCTTATAAAATCTAGCACATGTTCGCCGGGTTTTAGGTATATAATGCTTAGCTCTCCTCGATATTGGTCTAACGTTTTCGCTGTGCCAAATGCTCCCGTGAGCAAGTCTATCAACTCCGTCACCGAATCGCAGGGCTCATCCTCGACGGCGTAATAAGCTCTCTTGCCCAGTTTATTTATTAAGAGCTTAGTCAAATTCCTTTCGGCGTTGGAAGGTACTATTTCACGCGCTCTGCGACACGCGCGAGTGAATTGCGCGAGCGGAATGTTGTAACCATCAAAATACGGGACTGATTCGGTCGCTTCTCTGAAAGAAACTTTAAGGGTTGGTGGTTCCCCGGGTCCACCGCTGCCTCCTCCGAGGGGACCGCCTAATGGCGCGTAACTAAAATTCGTTGCGGGACGCGTTATCGATGTGTATCGCGGCGTAGGCGGAAATTCATCGAGGCGCGTTATTTCCGAGTCCTGCCAACGTTTTTCTAAGTTGCGTTCTCGCGTGGTTAGCTCCTCTTCGCGAGCGGATACGGTTTGGTCAAATTGTTCACGTTCACAATCTAATAATTGTTTCGCCTTTTCGATTTGTTCTAATTGTTGTCGAAGGTTACTTTCCTGTATCTGTAGACGGCGTTCTTTGTCTTTTACCGCATTTTCGATCATTCCTAGCTCGTATTCCTTCGTGTCTAATTCCCTGGAGCGTATATCATGCGGTTCGGGCCCTTGTTCAGAACTCTGCGCGGGGGGTCGGTTTTTGCTGCGCGTATCTATGCCGTCCATTTTATTGAAGTATTTGATTATTCGACAGAGAGAGTAGTTGTTTAATTCTAAAGATTATTGAGCGCGGCGGCGAGAGCTTAAGTGGCAGTACGCTACAGGTGGTTCTCTGCCGACGGGGATTCCGCGGCCCTCGATTCTTGCCAGTAACAGGTAATCGTCGAGTGCGCTAAGGCACGGGAGACAAAGAGAGCGAGAAATCTCCAAATAGTAAGCTAGGATGACGTAGCACGAGCTGCACCCCTTGCTGACGATTCCGTTACCTATTATTACGTAATGCTCCAGTACACGGTCGTGAGAGTCGCGTTCGGGTTCCGGGATGTCGCGAAAACAGTCGTCGCAAAGTAATATCCCGAGTCCGCGGTGTTCGTAGTATAACGCGAGCGCGTGTGTTGCGAGCGAGGTTCGGATGGGGTGACTCCTTTGAATTATTGAAGGGATTTGACACGAGCTTGTAGACTCACCGCTCGGGGGCATGGTACGTGTACGTGTACGTGATAAGTGCGTACGATTCCTTGTTCGCCTAATCGTTAATTTATCGTTACAATGAATTGCAAGTGATTTCAAACAGATCCCACCGCTGTCACCAATTTTGTTGCGTCGTGGGAGGCTTGACTCTTTTTTTAAAAAAAAAGAAAAAGTATAGGGGGAAAGGAACAAGAGGAAAATCAAGGAAATTTAACATTTAGCATATATTGTATGATTAATGATTAAGTCTAGGGGATTCACCACGACATGATGGGGAATCTAGAGCGGTTTCGAGCGAATTTATTGTAATGTGCTCCCTTGTCTACAAACCTAGTCGGATTCCCCTTAAGCGTGTAATTTCTTTAGCGTGATCGAATTAAGATTAGGTTATATTGGCATTATCTGCGGGTGTCGCTCTTCACTGATCGCTATTATAGTAGGCTCGGTGGAGTCAAACGGCCTATCTCCCGAATGTATCAGGTACTGTTCGAAGGTTGAGACGGACGCAACGCAAATCGGACAGAGTTGCACGCGTTCCTCGGTGGGCAATGTGTTGTCGCAAACTTCACAATCAACCGACGTGTGACTGAATCCTATTCGTACGTAGTGTCTAATGGTATAATTATACGAGCTACGGTCAAACGGGGATTTATCCACGTAGCACTCGCGGCAAATCTGCGTTTTATTAATGTGATGCTGATAGAAAGAGGTCATGCAACAGATTGCTGTGTCCAACCAAGCTCTGAACGGGACGTCCGCTGTGATGTGGTTACGCCGCTCCGCTCGATACGGTGGACACATAGGTGCGAATGAACCGTACTTGTATAAGATTAATATTATTATCAATTGCAGTTCAAGAACGGACGCGTGTCTGCAAAACGTAAATAGGAAAAGAATTTACTGCATGCGAGAGGCTAGAGAAGGAAACCGGCAAAGCTATTCGAAGAACTAACGCTCGTTGTTGAACGGATGACTCCCTGCTGGGCCGACGGAAGACGCCCCGCGGTGCAGGCGACGGTTAGTCTCGAACTTGTCGTGGCACATTTGTGCATGCAGGAATCTTCGTTATATCATCCCAACGTTTACATATATATATATATATATAATGTATGCACTTACCCTTTTGATGACTTGATAGCGTGAAAGTGATATGTCGTAGGCTCGTACGGACTCGATGGTGGCGGCAGCTTCCTTCCTTCGAAAAGCGTTGTTGCGGATGGTATTGATTTCACTTTCTATTATTTACCGCATAAGTTTATAAGTTCGACCGCGTTGATTGATTTATTATTATTATAATTTAGGATTCGGGCATTCATTAAGAACCTCAGGATAGGATATAACAATATATTTATTCACTAACTGATACAATATGTAA